CTTTATTTTGGTTCATTTGTTCCCAGCAACCTCTTTCAATGCTACACTTCTCCTTTCTGTTTATCAATCATGCATTTGTGGCTCTTACAGTCTAAAACGGACTTTATAATTGCCTATTGGTTGTTGCAGCAATGTGGAGAGACAAGCTAATGAAACTTCGCAATTCACAAGATGATCATTAGTTGACCCTCAACATATGTCCACTCACCTTTAGGTGCTGGTTAGTTGGCTTATAGGCATTCTTTTTGGGAGTGCAATGCTTGACCAAGGGTGTAAGGATAAATCGTTCTGTTTGGTGGCAGCCCTGATTACTGCAGTTCAGATGTAGTTTGACATCTCCAGGGATTTGTAGGATAAACGCTTGCCAGAATGGAAGCTGTGGAGTCCTTTGGCCTAGCATTTCTTGGTAATAAGGTAATATGCTAGGAACTATATTTGCATAATTTAAGATGCTTGAAAGAGGACATGTACAGATTCAACTTATGGTGAAGTTCCCTGGTTTGAAGCATGATTTGTTCATATAGCCAAAATGTGATATATATTCAATTTGCATATTGAACTACATGGAACATGTTTGTAAGTATTCTCATTTATATGTGGAAAAGAATATATATTCTGTTGGAAATCATTTGTATGTTGTTTTTAGATTAAACCCTCTCCTTTCCAAACTTTTCCCAGCTCATCTCAATATGGAGATTCAAATTCTTAACCATTAGGACATTCAGGACAACTTTGCTATAAAATTACAAACACTAGGGTTACATTCTGATGCATCCTACGAAATGATACACATACACTACATCTGAAATTGATTTTAAACAGGTAGTCCGACCATGCCTGTTGCTGTGCCACTGATGCGACGATCAAATAGATTCCTTATGTTGATCACTGGAATTCCTGCGGTACACCGTTGAAACAAGTTTGTTGCCCAATTTTTCATCGTACCAAATACCATATTGATAGATTCTGATATTGTGCTGGTGAAATTTGCTACTCTGTTACTGGTAGTAGATGGTATCAGCGGTTGGTTTAAGTCTTGAATCAAGCTGCTAGTAAGGTGTGTAGCAAGCAGGAGCCACACAAGTAACGAGACCAACGCAACATATAGCTGGATAATTGAAAGTAGTGAGATTATCGCCAGTGAACCGGACAGGATGGAGATCGTCCTCAGAATTTGACTCCAGTGGCGTGTGCGGAAGTTGAATCGACCTCCTCTTCCGAGGCTAACATCGGCAAATAGTGTTGTAGCACACAACACCATCATTGCACAATATACTGACAACATGAAAGCATGCAAGGGTCGAGAGGGGGGCCCAAGTTGTATCAAAGGCGTGAATGCTGTTAATAGCAGGCCCAATACAGCTATTGTTTCAGCATAAAAGGGCTCGCCTGGCCTGCAAGCAAAACTACAGTAAAAATGGGATCTCCATGCCATCACAAAAACAGATCTGAACATTTTGCGTAATTGTAGCATTTGCAAAAAAATACTAAATCATTAACGCGTATAAAATATTAAAAAGTAGAAATGAATAAGAAATAAGTTTAGAATTTCAGATAAAAATAATTTTTTTAAAAAAAATAACAAGATCTTCTCAAAATATAACAAAAATAAGAAAATATTTCAAAAATATAACATTAATTTGCTCCATCTCTAAACGATCAAAGAAAGAAAAAATTGCTCCATCTTCAACTTTTGTATGAAAAAAAAGATTATTGTACTATGTGAATCAAACAAACACAATACTTTAAGCACTAAATCTAATGGTTTGTATACAATTCAAAATAAAAATAAATAAATAAATAAATAATAACTAGCTCATTTCTTGATCACCAAAATAAATATTCATCATTCTAAATAAGAGAGGGAAAAAAAAGAGGTAAGATGAAGAGAGAGGAATACAACTGAGGAGATGAAAGACAAAATGTGTAACAACCTCAGCATCTGAAGAATTTGGCTGCTGGTTGACGACATTAAGGGCAGCAGAGATAAGAGAAACAAAGACAAGGAGAGTGACTAGAGCTTCTGTAACTTGTTAGAGTTTCCTCCTGGTGGCTGGTAATTCCTGCTTTATATACACGGCAGCTGGCGACCGCTTTTACGTCTTTACCCTTGAAAAAAAGTCCATTCAGAGGGCCAGTATTTCCAATACGCGAATGTGTCTGAATATGAGAAAAACTAACTTTACACTTAAAATTCCGCCATGCCGCAAACCTGTCATTTTCAATCCTCCTACGTGCCCTCCCCATTCTCTAAATCAGCGTGGCCCAGAAGAAAAAATACCTTCTGGATTTTAAATTGTCTTGAGAAGTTCTACCAATTTAAGTGATCACTTAAATATTGTTAAATCACATTTTATTTAAAAATATGATATTTAAATCTCATCTTTTTCCTTTCTTCCTCTCCCTAATTGCTCGTGTTCGAAAAAAAAAAAAAAGGCCCGTATCATGGTCTGAGTTGACAGATATAAGTCGATTTATTTTTGGTTTCTATTAATTTCTATAAACTGATTTCATGAATATATGCTTGCATGTTATGAATCATGTCTTCTAAATTCAAAGCTCACAGATAGTTGTGTAACCTTTTTCTTTATCCGAAGGTTAGAAAAACTCATTTTATTAAAGAAATTTTTTAATGTGTATTTAAAACATAAATTAAGAGTGTATTTACTATATATTTTTATTATTAATGTGCATAAAAAATAAAAATTAATTTAATTTTTATTAATTATTTAATAAAATTGTTTCACATAATATTGGTAATAAAAATAAAGTTTACCTTTTATAATTTTTTATATAAATTA